TACTTTATTATTTATTTTTAATAATATTAGTTATAGTAAATTTTGAAGTTAGCCTTTTGATTTTTAAATACTTTTTAATTGATTAAATTATTAATGAAAATATAATTCTTATTTAAAATTAATAATTATAATTATAAGATAAATATTAAAAAAATGTAAAAAAATATAATTTTTTTAAAATAATTATAAAATAATAAAAGATACATATAGTGAACTCTTGATATAATGAATTCTAGAATCTAGATATCAACTTTATTATAAACTTAATAATGAATTTTTTAAAGAATTTAATTGGCTAGTTCACTATAGTAAGGTAATTTTAATATATTTGATTTAAAAATTCACTATATCAAGGGTTCGCTATATTAAGGTTTGACTATATAATTAATTTACTTAAGAATAAATTTTTTAAAAAATTTTAATTTGAATAATTATAAGTTTAATGTTATTAAAACCTTAATTCAGTTAAAAAATTTGAAACTTTTATTTAATTGAAAATTTTTGATATTTTGATATTATATTAAATTTGAAAAATGAATTAATTATAGTTTAATTTTTGAAAATTCTAAAGATAATTTTATTTTATTTTTGTAGAATTGAGTTAGCTATTAACTTTAATTCTAATAAATAGTATTATTACTTAATCTTTTATTATTTATAATTATTTTATTATCAAAATTTATATAATAAATTTTATTTTTAAATTATTAGATTTGCAAGTAAATTTGTTTTTTTATTTTTTTTATTTACTATATAAATTCGTTTCTGATTATTTTATAAATATATAATAATAATAAGAAAATTTATTTTTTAATTATGATGGAAAAATTTTACTTTTATATGCTAAATATAATCTTTAACTTATTTTTTATTTTTTTAGCAGTTTTTCCCGTTTTATTGCAAAAGTCCTATTATTTTAATTTCTCATGATTTTGATCTAATGGAAAAATCTTTACCAATCTCCATCACACTACTTCCTATGACCTATATAATAAAAAATTTAGAAGCTAAAAATCAAAAATTTTAACAATTATTTATATAAAAATTTTTATTATTAATTTGTGCCTATTATTGGAATTTACTTTTTAGCTATATTAATCTTAGTATAATATTATAAAATTTATTATGAAAAATATTAGTTTTACAATTTTTATATCTTATTAAGAATTTTATGACTTATTATTCAATTAATATGAAAATAAACATATTAAAATTAAAAAATTTTTATATAAATTTTTTAAAAATTTGAATACAATTGATAAATATCAATATTTTATATGTTTATTAAGAAATTGATACCTTTTTTAATTTTGCAGGCAAGTTTACCTTTTAGACAATTTAAGAAAAAATATTTTTTTTTAACTCTTAAGTTTTGATTCATTTCAATGTAGTAAAGTCCACTTTATTGTAATTTATTCCTTCAATTTAGTTTTTTAAATTACGAACTTTCATTTGTATATTTATTTAACTATTGTAATAAGTTAGTATCTTTTTATTGTTTAATTCTTATAATAATTAAGTGAAAAGTATTTTTTTGTGAATGCTAATTTGAATTTGTATATTTTGAAGTAAAAAGTTTTAATTCACTTAAAAAGAGATTATACAAATTGATAAGATAGAATCCAATAAATTTATATCCTGAATCATAATTTAAATTATGTTCTTTATTATTAATTTATTCAATTCGTCTTTAAACAATAACGATAAACGTGATGCAGTTTGTCATTTATTAAAGTTAGTTCTGGTAAACTTTTAATGTAAACAAATTCTTGTAAATGTTTGTGAGAAAAGTTTATAAATGATCGCTTTCCTTGAATTACATAAAAAAAAAAAAAAAAAAAAAATCATCCACAACTATGACAGCATGTTGTCTTCAAAGTAGCCATACCAATGTTCATTTTATTGAAATTCGTGTCTTAAAGTATAAGTTATTTTATTTCGATCAATTAAAATATAAGGCCGAGTAAGGCTGCGATCTTTTAAAAATTATCAACGAATGGCTGCTTAAAGAAATTTTCGTATTTTATTGACGAGAAAACTTATTAATTTTTCTTATTACAAGATCTAAATATTATTATCCTAACACATCTTATAATATGTTGATTTACAGTATTTAATGAAAGAAAACAACACTTAACTGTTTATAGTATCTTTAATAGATTTTACAAAAGGATTCGAAATGATTTAATTTTAACATTATTTTGCTATTGAATTGTTAGCTGAGAATTAAACTTTCATTTCTTTGAAATTATAATTTCAGATTCCTGATTAATGAATCGCTTTTGATATATTGTATATGTATCGCTAACTACAGCTATTAATTTTCAAAATCTAGATAAAAGCCTGAATTGATGGCGAACAAAAATTATACTTTAAAAATTATTTCGACGTATAGGTGCTAAAATAGATGACAGCGTGTCTTTTGATCAAATTTCAAAATTTTGGCTTTGAAGACAATATTAACCTGCCTCGACTTATATGGGAAGAAAATTTTTTTTTTTGCTAACTTGATTATTAAGCTAAATTTTGTGCATACGACTAAATTCCAAATAGATTCCCTGATCAATCTATTAGGACCTCAACGGGACTCAAATGGCTGATATTGACAACCGGTCCTAAATAAAAGAGTTACAGTATTGCCCAATAACTATATAATATACAAAAATAGCTAGTATTTTTTTTTTTTTTGTTTGTGGTAACGGACTTTATTTTATAAACCTTGTAATAATCACAATAAGTATAATCTGCATTAACCACATGATTAACCAATTTGTCCATATAATATCCAAATTTTCTTATTGTTCGAGAATCATGCGAGCTCATATGTAATAGTTATTTACCGCGCCCATGATAAAAAATGATGTACAACCCAAAATCAAAGTATTATTGAACTAGAAAAAGCAATTTCAATTATCAAAAAATAATTAAAGTGCCCAACATACAGAAAAAGCAACGAAAAATGGCTAGAACATTTTAAAAATTTTCGAAAAAATATGACTGATTTTTATCCACAAGAGGAGATATAAAATTCGATTACATTTATTTCGCTTATTTATATTAGAAAGTCAAGTGGCTGCTACTAAAAAAAAGAGTGACTGAATATATAGCAATATAAATGATTTAACGAATGTCATTATCAAAATGACTGGTTATTTTAATAATTATTTTAACACTATGCAATATTAAATAAATTCATTGATAAATAATTTCCAGTACGATTGTCAAATGATATATCCCGGTAATAACGAAACATTGATATTTTCCCGGAAAATTCAACTCCGATAATAAAACCAGTAAAATATCGATGTGCAGTATCATGGGCTAATGATTAGTAAACGGTGAATATATAAAACAGATAAAAACTAAATTTCGAAACTGTAAGTTCATTGGGTGAAAGTTTCAGATTCGAGAAATCATCTCGTCTGAAACATTTATTGGAAGTTTAATACATCATTGAAGAGAATTATATATTGGGAATCTAAATTTTTGAATATAATCATGCAAATAGTCGGGATTAAGTCCGTTGTCGGGCCGGCCCGTTTCGGACCGATGATTGGATAAGAAAATCACATCATTACCGCGGTTGTGAATACAAATATATAATTATATAAGTAAGAAGGATAGTTGAAAAATCAATTCTGCGTTTACTAAATAATGATTTTTTTCTTTGAAATGGAACTTACAAATTATCCATCTCCAAATTTAAAAGGTAGTCAGGTACCGATATATTTCATTCCTTTTAATAATCATGAGCGTATATGTAAGTTCTGTGGGTTCGAGTACTCGGAGACACTTTATTTCGAACAAAAATATTGCAAGAGCTGTTTCTTTTGGTATATAAATACAAATGTTACATGTAATAATGGTAAATACTTGGATCTTGATATAAGCACAAATAAGATTCAATGTAAAAATCATGTAAGTAGTATGTTTATGGGTTCTGAGTGGTGCATAAATTGTTCAGAGATTTCATATTTTAGACAAGTTTATACGAATTCACGTTATTATGATTTTGATATAAAATTTAAAGAAACAAGGAAAATCATTGAAAGCACGAGAAATTGTAATTTATGTGGAAATTTAATTTATAAAAATTTAGATACCAAGATTATTGGGCTCAAACTTTGTTCAAATTGTTATCTAATTTCCTCCGGATGGATAGAATCAACTTTGATTAAAGAACGTATTCCCATCCTTTATTTGCCGTGGTGGGATTCCCTTGACCAATGTAACATTTGCGAACAAAACTTCAAATTTATATCGAATTACCAAAAATGGTGTTCACAATGCCTCGTCATTTATACTGGATGTAGATATTGTTTAACGACCAACATCATTTTCGGGATTACAAATCAATCTCAATGTAGGAAATGTAATCGGAAATCCTCTATTGAAGTAGCAAATATCAGTTGCGGGAACGATAAGATTGATGAATTTATTTATCATACAAAGTTCAACACTAAAATTAATCACCAGATCGCTAATTATGAAAATATTATTGAAATTGATTCTTGCCCGTTAAGTGTATATGAATATATTAAAAAACATGTTGTTCATGAAAGATCGGTAAAATGGATTCCATTTTTTCAACTTAAAGACTTAAAACAAATTGCAGTAGGTGGGTTTGGCATTATTTATGAAGCAAAGACTTTATTAAATGGTGAAACTACGACTGTTGCCATAAAAAGGTTTTGGAATTCAAGAGATATTACTCAGTACTTTATCAATGAGGTAATTACTTTATAGCAAAAGATTTATCACAAGCTTTTTAAAGGATTAACAAATCTAAGATTAAAATATCTTTCAGATAAACTCATTTTATCAATGTGGTAACGCAGAACACGTCATAAGATGTAATGGAATTACGAAGGATCCTGAAACGAATGATTATATGTTGATAATGAAATATGCAGATGGAGATTTACATGATTATTTGCGAAAAAATTTTGCAACGATTACCTGGAACAAAAAAAAATTATATATCTTATGGCAAATATTATATGGGTATAGATATTCTTTAATTTATTTAATTATTATTACGTTATTAATTTACTCATGCTAATTAATTAATAAATCTTTACATTACTTTAGACTAGAAGACATTCACAATAAAAAATTTATTCATCGAGACCTTCACAGTGGAAATATATTATTTGTTAAATCAAATGCCTCCAAATATCAATGGCAAATTGGAGATTTGGGCTTATCACAACCTGCAAATAATACTCCATTAAATAATGAAATATATGGTGTAATACCTTATATAGCCCCGGAAATATTTAATGGCGTTGCATTCTCAAAAGCATCCGACGTTTATAGCATGGGTATGATTATGTGGGAATTAACAACAGGTTATAAGCCCTTTTCTAATATCGAACATGATCATAAACTAATTTATGAAATTATTTATGGAAAACGACCTGAAATTACAAATGATACTCCTGAATGTTATGCTGCTTTAATGAAAAGATGTTGGGATTCTGATCCTTCAAAAAGGCCTTCTATAAGTGAAATTCGCAAAACCATTGGTAGATGGTATTATAAAAATAAAGAAACTGAACAATTTAACCTAGCTGAAAAAAAACGATTAGAATTAATAGAGTTAAAGAAACTTGGTCCAGAATTTGCTATAATGCATCCAAAAGCATTTTATACAAGTAAAGCATTAAGTTCTTTGATTTCTATGTATTTATCTATAGATTTATCTTCTATTTCTTCAAACTCATCAAAAGGTATGTATTGTATTTGCTTTAAAAAGGTTGGTTATATTTAGGATCCTTATTGATATATCTCTTTTTAGAATATATTTCGAAAGCATTTGAATATGACATTTAATATTATATTGCGTGTGTATATACAGTATTTGTGATTTTTTTAAATATAATTTTATTAAATTTTTAAAAAATTTAAATCTAAGAAAATTATGTTTTTTCAGATATAATACTTTATATAGAATTTATTCTTCACTTATGAAAATAGTATAAACTATTAAAGTTAAAATTTTAAAGCAATAAAATCAAATTAATTAATACTATTTTCCTATATAGTAATTTTATAAAATAAAATTTGAAATCATTCATTAAATTTGATATTATACATAAAAATGAGTTTATTTATATTAAATTGTACAGTATATCATATATAATGTTTTTATTAGCAAAGGTTTCAATATTAATCATTGTATCTAAATTTGCATTATTTATCAAGAAATTGAGAGTAATCATTTCAGCTGCGCAAAAGGATATATACATTTTTATTTAAATACAAGATTGAATTAATTCTAAACATGTACATAGTTAAAATTTACTCTCGATAGAATACCTCGTCCATACGAATGATCAAAATCCCGAATGACCAATCCCGAGTATTATTATTACTGCCCCCCGAAATTTAAGAATTATTAATATTTATATTTATTAAGATTGACGAGACTAAGAAATTTTTGCTTTAAAATTTTGCTATCTGAGAACATTTTTAATATACTTTTGCTAACCATCGCTTTCATATGTTTTACATTATCAAGTTTAATAATATCGTGCCGAATATATTAAAATAATGATATTCGGGATTTTGATCTTCGGAGACCCTTGTTTAATGTAGAAAATCGGATTTGGTGGATTATAATACGTTTTTTAGATCAATGACAAAAGAAGTGTAATTGTTCACTATATCTTATTAATGATATACAATAAATAACTAGATGTTTCTTCCATTAGATTAATACGGAAAGTGCCGAATATCCCGAACATTTCTGTAGATTTTCCGCATTTCGGATTAGAAATCTGAAATCAAAACAATGGTTTATAAACATATTATAATTAATGGCTTTAATAAATGAAAAAATTATCCGCCTTTTTTTTTGTTTTTTTTGAGGTTAATAACCTTATATTACATTACATTACAATAGTTTGACGAATCGAACCTCGAAAAATTCTCCGTGTGGCTGCATGCAAAACCTTATTATGTAGAACCTTATTATTATATTATAGGGGCAACTAAAAAAAAAATAATAATTTTTACTCATTTTTATCCATTGCTAATAATCTTAAGAGGCAAATTTCTCAGTATTGGCAAAAATAAACAATTAATTTCTCGTTCTCATTCAAAGAATCTTGATTTTTTATTAAATGATGAAAGCATATCTTGTATTATAACCGGATTTTCCGTTTTTTTGGTTATTATTTTAGGACATGCATTTTCTGACATAATTAATAAAATTTGCAGGATTGTCGCACGTGAAGAGGGAGACACTCAAAAGGACATGAGAATGAAACTTCTTTAAGAGTATCACGTGAATTTACGCTACTTTGAATGAAAAACTCGTGAGAACGGATTTCAGAAAAACTGTATAAATAAATTGGTTGAATGATGAATGGAGAAATGCAGGTCAATGTCATGCTAAAGAATCCTTTGTTTAATAATGACTTTCTTTTGGACGAAAATGGGGAGGAAACTTACAAAACAGTTTATATGAATTCAAAATATTATGCCGACTTTTTAACGTTTAACTATTAATTTTTTTTTTTTATATATTCATATCGCGAATTATGCAGATGATTTACCAAATAAAACTTTATTGTTGAAATCAACAAAAATAAAAAAGCCATTTAGCTTAAAAAAAAAAATCTTTTTTTTTTGCCATCATTATATTTTATATTCGTAATGTGAAATTCCTTTATTTTTCTTTTTTTCAGACGGCACAGTACATTAAGGTTCCTGTTCTGGTATATTTATTACTGATAATCTAATGAATTTAATGCCTTAAATTTGCCCGGAATCGAGTAATGATCATAAAAATAGAATAACCAACCAACCTATTGCGAAATTTGCGAAATTTTTATCTCGAATTTTTTTCTCTCCTTGAATTAAATATAACAACATGGAACCAAACCCAAATTTAAATTCTATATCAATCAAATTTATTCCATTTAATGAATCGAATCGCAAGTGTGAATGCGGATTCAAATACTCCAGGACGCTCATGTTTGACCAATTATATTGTAAAATGTGTCTGCTCAAATATGTTCATATGACTAATAATGAATACTTGGAATTGCTCGTAAACACAAATAACGATTGCAATCAGCATGAAACAAATAGAGATGCGAATTTTTGTACCCAAAATATTAAAGAATGGTGTGAAAATTGCTCAGAGATATCATATTTTAAACAAGTAACCCCAGGAGTTTCATTTTATAATAATCCCAATAATGTTTTTAAATTTTTTGAGAACGAAAAGGATTGTAAAACGTGTGAAATATTGACTTATAATCGTATCTATTTATCAATTAATGCCCTTAGAATGTGTTCAAATGGTTACCAAATTTCTTTATGGATAGATCCAACTTTGATTAAAGAAAGTATTCCAATTCTTTATTTACCATGGTGGGATGCATTTGATCATTGTAACAATTGTAAAAAAACCTTCAAGACGATTTCAGATTGTCAAAAATGGTGTTCACATTGCCTCATTATTTATACTGGATGTAGATATTGTTTAACGACAAACGTCATTTTCGGGATCACAAATCATTCCCAATGTAGGAAATGTGAAAGGAGATTCTCTATTGAAGTTAAAAATTCCAATAGTGGGAATAAGATTATAGATGAATTCCTTACATCTACAAGATTCCCTGAAATTACTCAAATCATTTCTTATCTGAATGAAATTAAAGAAAGTTCCAACCAATTGGATGCATATGATTTGATAAAAAAGATTCTTTCACCATCGATAATGGAATGGATTCCATATTCTCGAATTAAAGATTTACTTTGGTACCGTTTACAAGGCAACTTGGTTGGATAATGAAAGTGAACCGGTCGCTATAAAAAAAATAGATCCAAGTATCGAATTTGAAAATTTTTTAAAAGAGGTGAGCTTTAAGGTTATACGGTATATATTCAGAGGATTAATTATTCAAAATGTATTTATCTTATATTAATTAAAATTTTTTTTTTTTTATAATCTTAGTTAAAATCTCTTTACCAATGTTATAGTAATTTTGATCTGGTAATGAAATATGCGGATGGAGGAGATTTACATAACCATTTACAAAAAAACTTCACAAAGATTACATGGTGGAATAAACTAACCATGTTGACACAAATTTCACTTGGGTAATCATCAAATTATATTTAATCAATAATCAGATTTATGTTAATCATTTGTTTATTACATTTTTTAGACTTCATTCCATCCATGAAATTGGTTTTATACACCAAGATTTTCATAGTGGAAATATATTATTGGAGAATTGGAGATTTAGGATTATTGCAACATGCAAATAATACTACAGTGGATAAATTTTACGGAGTAATCGCTTATGTTGCACCAGAAATATTTTCTAAAAAATCATGTTCAAAAAAATCCGATATTTATAGTTTGGGTATTATTATGTGGGAAGTTACAACAGGTTGTAGGCCATTTGCTAACGTTGCTAACGGTAAACATGATATTGATTTTGTCTTGGAAACCAGTAGGGGAAAGCGACCTAAAATTACAGATGATACCCCCAAATGTTTTGCCAATTTAATGGAAAGATGTTGGGATCATGATCCTTCAAAAAGGCCTCATGCACTTGAAATTTGTAAAACCTTGGGTAGATGGTCATCAAAATCAGAAAATTTCGAACAGTTTAATCAGGCCGAGAAAAAACGATCGGCATTAATCGGATTAAACGAACTGGGTCCTAACTTTACTAAAGAACTCCATCCAAAAGCTTTTACAAATAAACTCAATCCAAATTATATAGACACCACAAATGCTTCAAAAGATCCTATTCTCGATATAATAATATTCCAGTTTCTCAAAATCATAATGAAAGTAAATCCGCTAAATTTAAAAGATCTTTTTCGTCTTTACCTACTATTTTCACGAGTAAAAATGTAGTTAACAATATATTGTAAGTTTTAAAATGTTCAAAATCCGAAATTCAATAAATTCAATTCAAATTAATATTTGTTTTTTATTTTTATTAAACTAGCTCGGGCCAACAATACAAATTTGGCCAAAGTTGAACTCTTATTTATGATCGAAAATTCACCAAGAACAATCATTTTAACAAATATCCAAAGTATTCACTAGGTAGGTTTAAATTGAAATCTTCAACTGCCAACGTTTACTTGGATTTTTTTGAATGTTCAGATATTATAAAGATCAAAAATATATAAATATATAAATAAATATATATAATAAATTCATTTATTATTTTATTTTCGTATTAGTTAACGTTTCACTGAAAGTATAATAAAATATTTATCATAAAAAAAGTACTTATCCCAATACAGCGAACATTTTTTTGTTGGAAGCAAATTGAACTTATTTTACGGCGCAATAAAAAAGCCTTTTTATTTTTTTACATAACAAAGGCTAGCGTCACCATAATAATCTCTACTTCATTCCGATCCTTCGACAATCGTACCTATTTCTAATCATCAAAATCAAGAAAATATAATTAATTGTACGATTGGAACGTTAATTAACCTTTTTATATAATTTTAATAAGCCGCCGCTACTACCTTTTCCTGTATCGTCTTATTTATATTAATTCAAACATATTTAAGATAAATTTCCCCTTTAATAAAGATTAGATCATCTTGTGATCGCATCCATCTGAAACCACAATATGGCGTAATAATCTTGAGTAACGATAGTGAACTTTATTTAATCTTCTAACCAATTGTGACAGCAAATAATTTAATTGAATTATTTGTTTGCGAGAAAAAAAAGGAAAAAAAATTTGTATTTAAAAGAACAAAAGATTTTCTTTTTATTTCAAAATATAGCTAATAATGAAAATGATAAAAAAATATTACTTTGATAATTTCTAAGGTCACCTAAGTCTAAAAAAAAAAAACACAAAAAAATACAAAAAAAAATAAAATATGAAGAAACTTAAGGAAACATAAAGGTAAGAAACTTTTTTTTTACTTTCATAAAAAGGGTGAATTTAATGTAAAATGCTTAGATTGTTAAGTATCATTAATCAAACAGTAGTTTATTCATTTTCTTTTGATTCTCTCGTTGACTTGGTCAGACAATCTTTTGTATACCGACATTTCTTCCATAGTAGCTCTTTTACGCAAGTGGAATTCGGTTCTGCTGATAATGTTTTCGTCTACAATCATTTGGAGTTGTCTTGCTGACTCTTTCATGAAGAATCGTAGAAGAGATCGAATAGTTGTAGGTTTTGCTCTAGACTTTGGACTTCTTCCGTTTAACGATTTATATATTATTTCGGGGTTCATAATTGGAGGAGGGAATATTGGATGGATTGTAAGATATTCCAAGAATTCTTGAACTTGTTGTTCTGCGAGTTTCATACTACAAGCTTATTTAATAAAATGATAGAATTCGTTGTTGATATTTAAAGAGAAAAAAAAAATTTTTTTTTTAAATTATTTTTGAGTCAAATCAAGACCCCCATATATATATATATTTATAACCTACAAATAACGTATGTCGCGTGATTCATGAAACATTTAGGAGAAAAGTGAGAGGAACCAAAGTAGTTGATGGGCGCGTGCCTGGAATACAAGGACGGTGGCATTGAAACAACTCGATGAATTATACCGGAAAATTCGGTCTTCGAAACCAAATAATGACGCTTGATTAACTATAATTCATATCTAGCCTAGCTTAAAGAAAGGATAATAGGACCTTCGGTGATATAACAGGCTAGAATGTAAAGTTATGAGCAATAAGACGTGTTTTAATAAACAAAGAAATAAACAAAAGGTAATATTTGATGAACATTACGAAATTTTATTCGGAAAATCCCGAAGAGTCAGTCAGATGGCTATCACCTTGAGTGATCCTTTCCTGGATATCAGTAACTGTCATTTTATCATCAGTCAATTTTTGTTTAGCATATATCTTCCCTTCTTGAAGAGTTCGCCATCGCATCTGTGAGTTCAATGCAAAATACCGCCAACGAGCATGGCGAGCAAATCTTCCATCATTGTATAGAAGCACGGTATTAATATAATATTCACTTTAACTATCGACATAGGAGTAGTCATCATTTTCCGAATAGGTTTCTAATACAAAAACATAGTTACATTCATTCTCAAAGGAATCCTTTGTGATTGCCTTTTTTGGATTCAACAACTTCAGATTCATCGCTGATTTCCACGTGGCTGGAAAATTAACAAAATTTTACCTGTTTAAAATATTTAATAAAGCATTTGAAAGATCAATAACTTGTTAAAATAAGTAAGAAAAAAAAATAATATAATGTTGATTATGATTTAATCGGTTCTAGATTTCATAACAATTTGACATTACCGATTTGGATTACAAGTCATTGATATGATAACACAAGTAAAGTACTCTTTGATTGAATGAAATAACAAAGAAAACATTTGATTAAACCCTTTTTTTCGGAAGAAATCCGGTCATTGCCTGTCGCACATTTTTTTTTAATCTTTCAGCGTTCCACAATGGTCAAAACTTTTATAAATATATAAATATTTATTGTTTTATTGGACAAGAAAGATACCAATCCAAACAAAAATGTGTATGTTTATTTATTAAATGCGTACAAAAAAATTGGCATATACAAATTAGAAAGCTTTTTTTTTTAAAAAAAAAAAATGTTAACTTACATAATGCGTGCGTCCGATTACATAGATACGAAGTTTCTATATATGTATAACGACAAATGATGGTAATAATTGCACAAACATGTTCTTTTTTTTGTGTATGTATATTTTAAAATTATAATTTAATCATACTTATATTGTTTCGAAAAAGTGAAAAGAACCAACATTCGAAACCATACTATATACACCATCCGAGTTCTTTTTTGATCAGATACGGAATTTATCATCCTGATAAGATTCGTTGATTATCTACTGTTTAGTGTATAAAATACCTCACCTTGATGTGCCAACATTATTAATGAGCATCGGAAGGATCGTTCTTTATGAAACAATCGTTCTCACTTTCATCCGAAGTCACTAGATTTAAAAGATCGTATTGCTCTGGATATTTATGTTGAATGAGTCGAGTTGAATTATTCATTATTGTGGTTTCTAATTTACTGTTGCTCACATTGAGGTTTCACAAAAATGGCGTTCAACTTTGTGGTTACAGGTTTCATGATTCGGCATTATTGTAAACGACTCTCATGCTTTCTCCCTATTTGGTTCACCAATTTATCGTGTAATCGAGCATTGCTTTGCAACTTCATTGCGTCAGTTACATGATTTTGCGGCTATTACCGAACTAAGCAATTAGCAATTCATATTATGCATTTAAAAGTTTGGGAGCATATCCAAGATGTTAGCAAGAAATAGCATATAATAAAGGGTTTATAATCGGTACATACTTAATAGCTCTTATAATAATACTACCGGTTTATTTCTAAGAAAAATTTCATTAGATGTGAATTTTAATTATAATGCATGTAAATTAAGGATAAAATATACAACGCTATATAAATCTGAATTCTTTCAGTTTACTCAAAGTCCTATATATCCTGAAAGCTAGTAAAATTTTTAGGTAAGCAAAAATTTAAAATTTTTTTATTAAAATTTTATAAAAAAAAAAAAAAATATTATAAAACCTAGCATTATAACTATAAATATAACTAAAAATATAAAAAAATATATAAAACTTTTTATTAGAAACTATTTACAATATGTAAAATTTTAGTTATTATATAGATTTTTTAAATAGAAATATTTAAACTTAAAAATAAAAATAAAATATAAAATATAAATAATAATATAGTCATATATAAAATATTCTAAATTAAAAAATTGATTGACAACAAATTTTAATAGTTTATCCTAGTGATGGAAAAAAAAAATTATTCTGGGGACTTATCCTCACGTGAAATTGGCACATTTTATATACTTGGGGACTAATTTATATATTGATGAAATATATCTTGATTTAGCATTAAAAAAAGTGAATTTTTCTTCTTTCCCATTCATGAACCACCCATATTATATTATATTGTAGATATGAATCTAAACAATGAATCCTTTCTAGCCAAATGCGAGAATCGAATTTGTTTTATACGATATTATGCAACATTTTTTAATGCCGATCAATTTTAAGATCTCGTAGCACAAATAATTTGGCGTACCTCCTTATTACATACTGTATAGAGGCGAGAATTTTATATTCGGCATGAGATCTTCGCCGAAGTTTTTCTTTTTTGCAGGCTAATTATTAATTTTAGAATTTATGATTCAAAAAGTTGGTGAAATAAAATAAATTTAAAATAAACAATATCCAAGAATGTATAATTAAATCTTTTAATATTTTGATATTTATCCAATTATGTAAAACTAATTACAATACAAACACATAAACATTGTTAAATAGTAAAGATCAAAAAACTGCAGTAGCCTCATTATATACGTGTATCGTTGAACAGTTTTCAAACAATCGAATGACGATTATCATACGTGGATAAAATATAAATATAAAAGAGACAGATTTTGCCAATGCCAATTCTTTTATTATAATCTAACAGAAAAAAAATATGATCAAAATGAAACACACAAAGTAACATTACGATTATTCAGATTTATAAAAAAAACGAAATCAAATTATTGCCAATATACGAAAAATCTAGAAATATGTTATTTCACCTATATGCAAATTAAAGAAAAAAACTTTACACGAGATCTTTTCGAAAATATGTTTAAGGATCAAAAAAAGAAATTGTTTTATCCGTTTCTACTATCGTTCAGCTTTGTCTCTTGATAATGAAATTTACTTGGCTCGACAAATATTGATAGTCTTCACTTTCGCTTAAAGTCATGGCTTTCTTCAACATGTCCGTCGCCCTACTAATAACATTATAGTCGTTTATTTGGATTTGTCGTGCTTGTTGCGATACGGTAACACGCAAGACTCCTCGGGTATGCGTCAGTCTAGTTCTAGGAGGTCTGTTGGTACTTGACAATTCATTGTACATTGTTACCGGATCAATGGCATGGGGAACGTTTAAGTGACCATCAATAATAAAGGCTTGTAAGAGCCTTGCTACTTCTTGATTAAATTTGACCTTATCATTATTGATGTATTTAATAATAAATTCTATTATTTTTCTCATTTTTCTTTTTTAAAAAAAATGAAAGTTTTTTATATGTACAGTATTTTTTTTATGAGAAGGATTTTTATTTCTCTATAAACTTAATGTAAGAATAAATTGGTGTCTTATAAGTTAAATATTAATTAATAAGGATTTTTTTTTAATAACGTATGATAAAGTAAATTTATTTTATTTTTTTATTTTTTTTTTTTAATTTTTTTTTTTTTTTTTTTTAAATAAAAAATTTTTACCTGAAGATATATATTTATACTAATCTGACAGATCATATCAAGCAATCTATTGCATGTTTTTGTCTGTGCACAATTTTTGATGTTTTGATGTCATTAACGTGGAAAAAAAACTCCTAAATTTTAGAATTTTGTCAATGAAAAAAAAAAATTATAATACACTTATATATATATGCAAGTGATCATGAGAACAATTTAGTAACAATACCATCATAAAAATTTTGAAAAAAGGAAAAGGAACGAGGTGTTGAAATCTGATTTGTTCTTGATATATGTATGATGATGGCATTCTCTAATGAAAAAAAAAAAATTACAATCATTGGTTTCGTTGATCCACCAGGGCTGAAAAAAAAAACTGTACAAATTGTTATTTTTTTGTCGATTTATACCTTTATTAAATTGATGAAATTTAGGGATATTAAACGGTCTAGAACATAGAAATTATTAATCGCTTATCTATAATAATTAGCTTTTGTTAAAAAATTCGTATATGAAATATTTTTAAAAGAATAATGAACTTTGAGATCGACAATTTAAATTTCAATTAATACAATATAAAAATCTTCTGTATAAATGCCGCTTAACACAATTTTCAAAAAACAACCCTTTAAATTATAAAAATAAATAAAATAAAATACATTGGGCCTATAAATGATATCTTGATTTCGACTTGTAATCATTTGTCTGATCCAGCGACAAGATAATAAGGAATTGAACATTTTATTGTTGTTTACTTAAATAATTTGATTTAAAAGGATAATTTTCGAGAAATCATGGAATTCGAAATAATCAGACAAATGAAAATGAACCAATTACGGCTTGTATGAAAAACTTTAAAAGTCCGTATGACCTCGTGTCGAATGTATGTAAGACGATGCTTATTTTGGTTAATATTTAAATTGCATGACAGGCTATCCCGGATATATTGTATTATACTTTAATAGGTACTGTACATGCGCCACAGACAATTTTTCTACGAAAATTTTGTCTTTTCGAAACTATACCTTAATAAATCTCATTTGAACTTTTAAAAATACATTAGTGTGCTTTCGCTCGTTCTGCAAGTTTACTTAGAACGTCAAATGAGGATTTTGATGTAAAATTTGACTTAACCGCATTTTTTTTTTTGCAAAAATTATGCATTTTACAATTCTGCCTTTAATTTTCATTATAAAAAAAAAAATTTAATAAACAATATTTTAAAGACATCAAAGCACTATAAAATTCTTTTCTGTTGAGGTATGTCAAAGAAGGTATGAAACGGTATAATGCAAGCCTAGTAATTTATGCAACGCTACACATTTTAATAAGGTGTGATGCTGTCATAGTGCATGACTTCGCGATATAATCCGATAAAATCTTTTTTTAACGCGTTTAAACCAAAAAAAAATAAAATGAAAATAAAAAATAATTAATTTCGCAAATCGGAAAAAAAAAATATAAATCAGGTGTTGATTGATCTAAACTAGAAGTTGCGATATGCAGGGGACTTCGTCCCCCATTAAGCGTCAGATTAAATATCTTATATTCATATAAATAAATTTATATTATAATCAATAATATTCGTAT